CCTCCCCCCACGCGCGCCCCCGGGCCGGGGTCCGCACCCCTCTCCGGGAAGGACGGCCGGAGCGCCTGGGCACTGGGCCGTGCCTCAGTTTCCCCCCTTGCGCCCCCTCCCCATGTGGGGGAAGCCGCCCCGCGAGGGCAGCGCGGCCGCGCCGAGGTTCTGGGGCCGGGAGCCCGGGAGGGGGCCGAGCTCCGCGGGAAGCGCCCCTCCCCCGGCCTCCCCCAGGCCTCCCCGGGCGCACCCTCTGGCGGCCGCTTTGAGGCACTGTGTCCGCGGAGGCCCCCAGGGTCCGAAGACCTGCCGGGGTGTGGAGGGCAGCAGGGGCCTGGCCCTCCCAGTTCGCCCTCCCAGTTTGGGAGGAAGCCGTCCTCTGGCCACCGTCCCGGATCTGCGGCCCCACTTCAGCGTCCACAAGTGAGGCGAGGGCTCCGTGTCGGGATCAGAGCTCACGCTGCGGCAACAGGGCAGAGGCAGGAGTTTCCAGGCCTCAGGCTGTATGTTGGGCAAACTCTAGATCCTGAGCCGGCTCTGACTTCTCCTCGGGGTGGTGGAGAGCCACCAGCAGCTGGTACGTGGCTGTGCCAAGAGTCGCCCCCACCAGAGGGGCCACCACAGGCACCCACCACCAGCCATTACCAGCACTGCAAGAGAGGGACATAAGGAAGGCTTCAGGGGGAGTCCTCTAGCCTCTCCCTGAAGGACCAGGGGCGGTAACAAGAGAACCTCCCTAAAGCAGCCCCGGGGGGGGGGATGGACGCCGGGAAGAGCAAGTCTTGGCAACGAAGCACAGCGGTTAGAGAGGAGACCCCAGGAGAGCTTGGTCCAGCCTCTTGCCTCGGGGAATTATCTGAATATACCCATCTTGTGATGCGGTCCCAATGCCAAAAGGTAACAGGACAGACGTGCCTGAGAACACAGCCTCTACTGTTTCCGGAGAAAGGGTGGAGGAGAGAAGAAGGGGTGAGGGAGAAAAGGAGAAGCAGGACTTAGATGAGGGGCATTGTCCTGAGTCCCCGAGGACTAGGGAAGAGGAGAGAGCTGGGGACCCAGACTCAGAGGTATCAGGGGAGGGGCGAGGCTGTCTCTCACCTGAAGACGTCAGGGCCCCAGCCAGCCACGTAGGTGAAAAGCCGTGGGCCCAGGTCCCGGGCAGGGTTGAGTGGGAACCCACAGTTGGCACCCAGGGATAGCCCGATGGCCAGGATCAGCAGCCCCACAGCCACAGGCTCCAGACCTGCAGGCACTCCCTTGTTCCGTGTGTCCAGGATGGCCAGGATCCCCACAATCAGGATCCCCGTGCCCAGCACCTTGGAGTCCACAGAGGCAGAGGGGCCCCCATAAGCCGTCAGATGACCCAGCTGCCCCTTCTCTCCCAAGGACCCTAGGCCACCACCTCATGTCCTCTGACTTTGCCCAACGCAGGCAACTGGGGTGGGGGTGCTACAGAGACAGACTCAACCCCGTATCCCACCCGGAGCCCGAACAATAAGTAGTCTGGGAGCCCAGGGGACAAGGGCAAAGACTGGGGCCTTCCCAGGTCTCCCCCTCACACCTACCTGATCCAGGAAGCCATTGTTCAGGGACAGGTAAGGGGCAGGATAGGTGGCAAAGATGGAGGCGGTCTCCTTGGGGCCAGTCACTGTCAGGTTCCCGCCTGTGTAGTTCTGTAGGGCATCTGCAGGAGGCAGGGGAGGCTCAGGACTTCCATCTTTGTCCATTCAAAACCATTGCAAGGCAGTCCCGGCCACACCCAGACGGCCCCGACCCTGTTACCGTAGTAGACAGCATAGGTGGCTCCAGAGGCACAGAAAGCAGACAGAAGCTGCACCAAGCAGTAAACGGGGAACTTGGCCCAGGGGAGGCGTCCCAGCAGGCACATGGCCAGGGAGAAGGCTGGGTTCAGGTGGGCCCCTTCAAGGATCGGGAAGAGAAAACCAACATCCGTTAGGTGTGGCCTCCTGGTGCTCACCAGGTCCCGCTGCCGTTGTGTCACAACTCCCAAGGCAGATGTTACTTGTCCCCACCGGGTGAGCGGCTCAGCTCTGAGACATTCTGCAGCTTGCTGAGCTCACACAGTAAAGCCCAGGGTCTGCCCGCTCTTTCTACTATGTGTTTGTGTCTTGTGATGGGGCTCAAGGCAGACACACTGGCCCCTGGCACAGCACGTGCCTGGGGCACAAGAAGGTGAGGCCCCGGGGCAAGATGACACCGAGGCCTTCAGGCGGGGGACACGAGAAGACACACTTACCCTAAAGCCTTGCCACAGCTCCCTGCCTAGGTGAGTGGAGGGGAGAGACATGGAGGGGAGGGGCTGGCCCGGGCCAAGGCATATCTGGGTCCAGGGCACTAGTCAAGCTCAAGGAGACAAGTCCATGAGTCACCGTCACCACACGCTCACACACGCACGTGGCCAGACCCCACCCTCCTCACCTGAAACGTTCCCACCCACGTAGATGGCTATGGTCACGGCCAGAGAGCCAGCCAGAAACATGGTGAAGAAGTTGCCTTTCGTTTCTCCACTGGTGACAGCCTGGGCTCCAGCCCCCTGGGTGAGCAACTGGTGGGGAGAGGGAAGATGAGGAGCGGAAGACCAGGCATGGGGAGCCTGGAAGCCTGGAGCAAGGCTGGGAAGGGGAGCAGCTGAGAGAGAGAGGGCACCAAAGTAACGAGGGGTCAGCAGGAAAGGGGGAGGAGCAATAGAGGGAAAGGAAACAGAGGAGCTGTGGGGGAGCAGTGAAGACTGGGAAGGGAGAGATGGACGGGGGCTGGAACCGAAGGGACAAGGGCAGGGACAGAAATGATGCATAGTTGAATGAAGTGAGACACCAGGAGGAAGAGACAGAGGCAGAAACGTTCGCCCTCCTCCCCTCTTTCCTTCCCCCGTTACCCGGCCTACCATGAGCACAAATACACCCAGAAACTCTGCCAGGCACTGCCGGGCCAGGTGGCTGCGGATCCGGAGCCGGCCCTTGACGTCGGCCAAGGGCTGGCTCTGCAACATGGTGGGGACGCCTTGTCTCCGGCTGCTGCCACACAACCACAACCACTGCCTGCCAGGGAGCGGGGGAATGATAAGGGAAAGACTTTAAAACCAATTAGCGCAGCGCCTGAACAGCAATGTCTGCACACGTGTGTAGGCTAGCGAGCGTAGAGATAGTAGAGATAACAGGAGAATGTCCAAGGGCCGGCTCTTGGACCAGAGCCTGGAGTTTGCCCAGGCTGTGTCTCTTCCATCTGTCATCCCCGTTCCTCCCAGGAGTAGCCCCCTCCTGTGCCGATGGGTCGGAGGAAGTATCCTGTGCCAGCCCTTGGCCTCAGCAACCTGCTCCCGCCCCGCCCCTGGTGATCTGGAGAGCCTCAGGACTCGCCAAGGCCGCGCAGCTACTTAAGGGAGACGTCTGAATTCAGATCCAGACCTTCTGACTCTCCGTCCCCTGTTGCACAATGTCACTCGTGTGGAACATGAAGCTTTCCCCCCAACCATCTGGATGCTTGCAGAACGCCACGGGCATCCAGAGAGGCTGGGCTGAAGACCGGAGACTGCAGAAAGAAAACCCGCTCATGCGATGCTTGCGCTTCCCTCATGCGGAGTCCCACCTCGGTTAGAGTGCCCTAGCTCTGCCTTGGCTCCAGACGAGTGCTTCACACTCCCACCGAGCCCCACCTCCCTTTCTCTGGATGCTTGTCACCCCCAGATTCCGCCTAACACACAGCAACTTCCTGGTTCTTATTGCAGGCCTCCAGTTAGGTTCATTCAACTAGGAGTCAAATTCTAGACGCTGGAGAAGCGGCGATAAGCAAACACATTGCCCGCTCTTCTAGAGCTTATGTGCCGGTAGGTGGAAACACATACATTTACAAAATCCCGTATATAGTTCATGAGGTTCTCGAGCACTGGGCCACGGGCTCTGGCACAGTCCTGGGCACATCTGTTCACGATACTCCTTTACTAGGTTTCGTGGGTAAAATGCTCTACCCGGATGCCCTGTTTGGGACCAATGCACCCATTTCCCAGCTGCTGGGAATATCAGATGCTGATTGCACACAGCTGCTTCCCTCATGGCAATGCCTCCCATGGCAGGACACAGCCTCACCCAAGGTCACACGCCCTCCTGTAGGGCCTGTCGACGACGGTTGATGCGGGATACAAAGACCTGGCCTCTCTGTCTCAATATGGAACGACCCTGAAGGGGCCACTCCAACTTCCAAGTTCCCCACAGGATCGGCCGAAGCCTCTCTTGTAACCTCATTGCGTGTCAGTTTCCCCGTTTGCCTAACCTTGCCTTCCTCACTTCCTTACAGGTGCATCCCGCGAGCACTAGCACTTCCCAGTAAACCTTGTTCACGTAGCTTCTCGTTGGAGTCTTTCTCCAAGGAACCCAATTTAAGCCTGTTGGTTTCAGACGTGGTTCCACAAATTCTAGAATGAATCTGGGTGACTGTTCACAGTCTGGCTGGCAAGAACCCACGGTAGTAGGTAGAATACTGATAGTCTCTAGCTTGCTGAGGTGGGACAGTTATGAAAATTGTCAGCAGTGGCCGGCTGCGAGGGGTTACTGGTTGAAAGGATATGCGTTAATGGTCTCTGCAGCAGTTGAGAGCCTGAAGGAAATAGAAACTAAGTCCACAGAACTGATCAAGTCCAGGCAGACTGTGAAACCAGGTGGCCCCACGACAGCCCTTAAGGGAAGCCTAACCTGTATCCAGTGGGCATCAGAGTGGAGGGCCAGCTCCAATGTTAATTGTTGAGGAAGAATTCTCAGCCCCAGGCTTCCTAGGCCAAGGCTAGGTATTTTAGGACCCTAACCTTGAGGAGGTTAGGGTAGGATCCCGACATCTGAAATGGGGACATCTGGGTAGATGCAACTGAGAATCTTGAATCTCGATTCCTCTGAACCCTCCCTTATTCAGATTTTTCCTTTGTCTCGAGCGTTCTGAAATAGTGGGTTTATTTTCATCCTTGGTATTTAGCATATGGTGGGTCTTTCAGGTTAGAAGTAAATATTCTTCACTTCTGGGATATTTTCTTGGTCTGTTTCATTGATGGTTTGTACCATTCCAGTTTTATTTTTTTTCCTATTTTCTTTGAAAATAATCTTTTTAAATCGAAGTATAGTTACATATAACATTACTTTCAGGTGTGCATTGCTGCCTGTTTTCTAGATATCTATTACTCGGTCTACCTTCCTGGAGAGTTTCTCAACTTTGTCGTCAGAATCGTTTTATAGATTTTCATTTCTGCCATCACATTTTCTTTAACTCCCCAAAGTTTATTCCTTTTCATAGGAGTATGTTCTGGCTGTATGGACGTATCATCTTATATTTCTAAAGACATTAAAGACGTATCCTTGCTAAATTTTCATCTCTCTGCAGACTGTTTCTCCCAAGTTGCTTCTTTAGTTTGTATGCATCTCCAGCTTTCAAGCTGTGAGCCATCCACAGATGTCCACTAGTCTCCAGCTCCGTGTGTTTCTGTGATGCTCTGAAAAGCTGATTAGAAAAATCAATCGCATTCTTACATGTTAGAAGTTAGAGAGGGGAGAAACAAAAGTGGGAGTATATGTTCTACCAAATACAACTACACAATTTTAAGATGTGATATGGGCACAGAGGTACACAAATAGATTAACAGAAAAGATAGACCCAGCACAACGATCTGTGTATAAAATATATTTATAGTATTTGTATATACATATGCATATGTATTTTTCCAACTAGAAAAAAACAAAGTTGGTCCCCTGATTCATAGATTCATAGCAAATAGGAAGATACATTACAGGTGGATTTAAAACCAAAACGCAGGGGCGCATGGTGGCTCAGTCAGTTAAACATCCGACTCTTGGCCTCGGCTCAGGTCATGACCTCACAGTTCCGTGGAGTTGAGCCCCACATTGGGCTCCTTGCTTTAGCTGTCCCTCTGCCCCTCCCCCACGCACTCTCTTTCCAAATAAGCATTAAAAAACAAACAACACCTAAATGTACAAAGCAAACCTAGTAAAAATCTGTGAAGGAGAAAAAAAGGAGAGGGTCCTTTCAACCTTGGGTGGGGAGGTGTCTAAATGACACAAAGAGCACTAACCATAAAGAAAAATATAAACTTTGCTATGGTAAGTCAACTTCTGTTCACCAAAACATATAATAAAAAGACAAAATTTCATCAGTGTATATCTTCTTTGTTCTTGTGATATGCCTCCTTAGAAAAATCCCTTTATCGTGTGTCGTTTTAGTAAAGTTTCGAGGAAACAGAGGTAAACATACAAAATCAGCCCCTCCCAGCCACAGTACTAAAAGAGTTTTTAACGAGAAAAAAAATCCAGTAATGTTTGTCCTAGTTATATTTTCTCCAACATACATTAAAAAGAAAAAAAAAAAAAAAAAAAAAAAAAAAAAAAAGAACATAGCCAGTAAAGGAAGAAATATTTGCCAGTGTATTCCCTCAAATTCTCTCATGAACTGCCCCATCCTAGGGAAGCAGCCATCACCCATTTCCACACAAGCTTCCTCTTTTGAGAATTTTTTTTTTTTAATTTCTTAAATGTTTTAATTTATTTTTGAGAGAGAAAGAGAGCGCCAGCAGGGGAGGGGCCGAGAGAGAGAGAGGGAGACGCAGAATACTAAGCAGGCTCCAGACTCCAAGCTGTCAGCACGGAAACTGACGCAGGGCTGGAGCCCACGAACCGCGAGATCCTGACCCGAGCCAAAGTCAGACGCTCAACCGACTGAGCCACCCAGGTGCCCCCTCTTTTGAGAATTTGTGCATTCCCCGATAGAACTCTTCCTGGAGTTGTCTCTATAGTTATCTCTTCCACAAGAATAATCTACCGGGGACCTGACCCTATTTATCAAATCAGGTTTTGGAACCAGAAAAAAGTTAAAGAAGAAGGTGGCCGTGGGCCAAGATGATCTGGGAACCCCTGGATGGTGCTAGAAAGTGGAACAGCCTGGACAGAACTAAGACCAAAGAATTAGCATAAATAAAGGTTTTATTGGTCACTTTGGGTGAGTCACATACTGACATACCCCCAATTCACTGCTCCGCACACCCCAGGCCGAGGTGGCAGGAGGAGACACGGATGGTGAGCGAAGCGTGGAAGGGATCTGAAGGCCGCTGAGGCTTAACAAGGCTACCGGGGCCGGAACCAGCGTCCTAGGAACAAATCCAGGATGGAATAGGTGTCATCCAGGGCTGGAGGTGCTGGTGATTCTGGATCTAAGGAAGAAAGTGATACACACGGACACACTAGATGAAAGAGGATGAGCAGAGGACAAGGAGAGGAATAATATTAAAGGCTAGAAAAGTAAGGGTTCCCCTTTCCCAAGGAACTAAGAGACAGACCCTTTTGTTTTTTGTTTTGTTGTTTTTTTTTTTTAAGTTTTTTTTTTTCA